ATCAATCGTTTCTGGATATTTATCACAGAATCTGCATTTTGGGCTGACACAATATTTTAGTATATGTGCTTGATAATTCCTAGTTAGCAAGCATCGGTCCTGTGCAGCAAGGATAAAACCTTCAGTTTCAGCTTTTAACCCTCCACTGATGGGTACGTGTTTTGTCTACGTCAGCTTGTTTGGTACGGGCAGAGTATTGGCCATGAAGCGGTTTATCTTGCCATCGCTTCTGTATCTGGTCGGTTGCATTCGTCTTTGCTGTCTTTTTTAAGTATTTTGCAGTTTCAGCCGGTGTATTGTGCTCTACTTGCATCTCTACGCCCATTTGAAACTATTATTATTATTATTATTATTATTATTATTATTATTATTATCATATATAAAAAATAAAGAAAATTAAATTATCTATTACAAAAAATTTCCAACAGTTAACCTTTATCATCAAAAATAACTACACTCCTGTAAAATCAATACTATAAAGAACCAACGTATTCACAAGTTCAAATACATACATCGGTCACCCTATTAAATGCCTATCCAGACGACTTGCGTTACACCTATCCAAACAAAGCTTTAATAGAATCCATTTAAACACACACACAAACTTACTAGACTCTGTCCGAAACATACTAGTAGAAAATGCAAGTATAATGACCTCATTGACATGTAAAAAAATGGAAGTCCTAATAATAAAAAAGAAAAGGGCAACACCCAAAAACATTAACGAAGAAAATGGTAACAATTAAAGTTTCATAAATTTAATTCATTTTTTAATGAAACTTGCATAAAAGAATGATTGATGACAAGTACAAAAATGCACACAACACATATATATATATATATATAATCATTATAATTTAGGCTCTACTTATGTATTGAGCACTGTTTTTTTTTTAAATAAATACGGATTATTAACGTAACGTGTTCTTTCCTATTTTTCTATATATTGCACACACACACACGCACACACGCGCACACACGCGCACACACACACTGATATATATATATATATATATATATATATATATATATATATATATATATATATATATATATATATATGTAGTGGCTGGACACTAATCTAGCGTGATCGAGAATCTGAGCAAAGTTAGCACGTTCAAACGCTCGGTCACGATGACTTATGACTTCGTGATAGCACAACCACTGATGCCCCCCCGGCATGGATTCCGCCTACCTAATTTCACTCACAAGGCGTGGGTCAACCCCTGTTATAGTTTTCAGGCACTATTCATTATATATATATATATATATATATATATATATATATATAGAGAGAGAGAGAGAGAGAGAGAGGAGAGAGAGAGAGGAGAGGAACCTTAATTACTGCGGCTAATGTGTACATCGGTAGCTATAAAAATCAATTTTCAAATAATTTGGTTAAACTGAAGAAGATTTTACTGCCCTGATGGAATATTATGTATGCACTAATCGAATTTTGTTATATAAAATATTAAGGATTATATTATATATATATATATATATATATATATATATATATATATACATACATAGATATATATATATATATATATATATATATATATATATATATATATACATACATATATATATACACACACATATATATATATATATATATATATATATATATATATATATATATATATACACACAAACACACACACACATATATATTTGGTCAGAGTTCAGTAGTGAAATTGTCTGATAAATGTCCCAAAATTCATCAACAGTGACATTACACAGAAAATCAGCTTCCAGTATATAGTGATGGGAATGTTGCTGTTTTTTCTAAAACATGATCAGCCCGTTATGGCCGTATTGAAAATATTATGCATTGTATTTTTCTTTTTATTATTCCTGCTTTCATTATTTTAGTCGTCTTTTGTTTGGGTATGTAATAAGTATACTTCTGTTTCATCTGTCTGCTCATTCTCTCTCTCTCTCTTTCTCTCTCTCTCTCTCTTCTCTCTCTCTCTCTCTATATATATATATATATATATGAAAATATATAGAAAATAGGAAGGAACTGGTTAGGTAAATAATCCAAAGTCCCTTAGTATTTTAGTTATTATTTTTTTAAAATAGTGCTCGATACAAAAGTAGAGCATAAATATAATTATTTATTTAAAAATATGATTCCAAATCGCGACATAAGAAGTCCCATGTTTCAAAACAAGAGCCTTGAAGATGGAACAGAGCTTATTTTAACTCAATTTAATTTAAATAATTATATTGAAGTTTTCGGCTCTAGTTTTGAAACATGGGACTTCTTATGTCGCGATTTGGAATCATATTTTTAAATAAATAATTATATATATATATATATATATATATATGATAAGGAAAATACTTAAATATTCATCATATATACGCACATGATAGGTGTCGCATTGGTATCGAGTATGTCCATTGCACGATTTCATGGCATAACTAAATTACGTTATCAAGCAATGGAAACTTTTAAAATGAGGAAAGGATGATCCCCGTATACCCCAAA